TGGTAAGTGCCCACAATCTCTTGCCTAAAGACGAGCACGGTTCATCTAGTGCCTTTGTAGAGCTCTACTTTGATGCCCAGAGGTTCCGCTCGACCATCAAAGAAAAGGATCTGAATCCTGTGTGGAATGAGAGTTTCTACTTCAACATCTCTGACCCTTCCAACCTCCACTATCTTACTCTTGATGCTCATGTTTACAATAACATCAGAGCTACCAACTCCAGGTCCTTCCTTGGTAAGGTTTGCCTCACTGGGAATTCATTTGTACCTTACTCGGATGCCGTTGTGTTGCACTACCCTCTGGAAAAGCGTGGAATTTTCTCACGTGTGAGAGGAGAGCTTGGCCTGAAAGTTTATATTACTGATGATGCATCCATCAAATCCTCTACCCCACTTCCTGCAATTGAATCTTTGCCAACTAAGGATCCTGGCTTAACATATGGCGAGGCTCCAACGCTCGACCCTATGTCAAATCCTGTACCTCATAAAAGAGTCGAGAGACACACCTTTCATCATCTTCCTAACCCAAATCACCAGCAACATCAGCATCAAAATCATTCTTCTGCTCCAGCAATTACCCATCATGTACCAAAGTACGTGGCTGATGAGATGAAAGCTGCAGAAACACAGCCTCCAAAGTTAGTTCGCATGTACTCTGGGTCATCATCACAACCTGTTGACTATGCCCTTAAAGAGACGAGTCCCTTTCTTGGTGGGGGGAGAGTTGTTGGGGGTCGTGTTATTCGTGGAGACAAGACTGCAAGCACTTATGATCTTGTTGAACGGATGTACTTTCTGTATGTAAGGGTTGTTAAGGCTCGCGATCTTCCTGCCATGGATGTTACAGGAAGTCTTGATCCATTTGTTGAGGTAAGAATTGGAAACTACAGAGGAATTACGAAGCACTTTGAGAAAAAGCAAAATCCAGAGTGGAATCAGGTGTTTGCTTTTTCAAGGGAACGGATGCAAGCTTCTGTTTTAGAAGTTGTGATTAAGGACAAGGATCTTGTTAAAGATGACTTTGTGGGTGTCATGAGGTTTGACATCAATGAGGTTCCATTGCGAGTGCCACCAGATAGCCCTCTAGCTCCAGAATGGTATCGGCTTGAGGACAAGAAGGGAGAGAAAATAAAGGGTGAGTTGATGCTTGCAGTATGGATTGGAACCCAAGCAGATGAGGCCTTTCCTGATGCGTGGCATTCTGATGCAGCTACCCCTGTAGATATTACACCGGCTTCCTCCACTGTGATACGTTCAAAGGTTTATCATGCACCAAGGTTGTGGTATGTACGTGTTAATGTTGTTGAGGCACAAGACTTGGTCCCATCAGAGAAGAGCCGTTTCCCTGAAGTGTATGTTAAGGTTCAGATAGGAAACCAAGTTTTGAAAACGAAGACATGTCAGGCTCGAACTTTTAGTGCCTTATGGAATGAAGATCTTTTATTCGTTGCTGCTGAACCCTTTGAAGACCACCTGGTTCTTTCTGTTGAGGATCGTGTCGGTCCTGGCAAAGATGAGATAATTGGGAGGGTCATCATCCCATTGAGCTCTGTGGAGAAGCGTGCTGACGATAGGATAATTCATTCTCGTTGGTTTAACTTGGAAAAGCCAGTTGCTGTAGATGTAGATCAGCTGAAGAAAGATAAGTTCTCTAGCCGCATCCATCTTCGAGTCTGCTTAGATGGAGGATACCATGTTCTTGATGAGTCAACTCATTACAGCAGTGATCTTCGTCCCACAGCAAAACAGCTCTGGAGGCCTCCGATTGGGATACTGGAACTCGGCATCTTAAATGCTGTAGGACTCCATCCTATGAAAACACGAGACGGGAGGGGTACATCAGATACGTACTGTGTTGCTAAGTATGGTCACAAATGGGTCCGGACGCGCACCCTTATTGACAACCTGTCTCCCAAATACAATGAGCAGTACACATGGGAAGTTTTTGATCCAGCTACAGTTCTTACGGTTGGTGTATTTGACAACAGCCAGCTTGGGGAAAAAGGTTCAAATGGAAAGGACCTAAAGATCGGGAAAGTTAGGATTCGCATCTCTACACTCGAAACTGGGCGGGTTTATACACATTCTTATCCCTTGCTGGTTCTTCATTCTAGTGGAGTTAAGAAGATGGGGGAATTACATTTGGCAATTAGATTTACATGCATATCTTTTGCGAACATGCTTTATCAGTACTCACGACCGCTTCTACCCAAAATGCACTATATCAGGCCCTTCACTGTGATGCAGTTAGATATGCTTCGCCACCAAGCTGTCAACATAGTGGCATTACGATTAGGTCGGGCAGAACCTCCTCTTAGGAAGGAAGTGGTGGAGTACATGTCGGATGTGGACTCCCACCTTTGGAGCATGCGCCGTAGCAAGGCAAATTTCTTTCGATTAATGACTGTTTTCTCAGGGTTATTTGCAGCTGGAAAGTGGTTTGGGGATATTTGCATGTGGAAGAACCCTATCACTACCGTGCTTGTTCATGTGCTCTATCTTATGCTTGCTTGCTTCCCAGAACTTATTCTGCCCACAGTTTTTCTTTACATGTTTCTGATAGGCATTTGGAATTATCGATATCGACCAAGGTACCCTCCCCATATGAACACAAAGATTTCACAAGCTGAGGTAGTGCATCCTGATGAGCTTGATGAGGAATTTGATACATTCCCAACAAGCAGGAGCCCTGAGCTGGTCAGGATGAGGTACGATAGGTTACGGAGTGTTGCTGGAAGGATTCAAACAGTTGTGGGGGATATAGCAACCCAAGGGGAGCGATTTCAGGCACTGTTAAGCTGGCGTGATCCACGCGCAACTGCCATCTTTGTTATATTCTGCCTCGTAGCTGCACTGGTTTTGTTTGTGACGCCATTTCAGGTCATAGCAGCTTTGGCTGGCTTCTACATGATGAGGCATCCAAGATTTCGCTACAGGACACCATCTGTGCCCATTAACTTCTTTCGCCGGCTTCCTTCTCGGACAGATAGTATGCTGTAAATTGGGAATTGGATGCTCGCACTTGCATGCTAGAATTTGTAAGTGCTTCACTCTAGTTCCTAGTATTGTTTCCTTTGCAATTCTTGTTTACAATGGATTGGCCATGAAAGTTGTAATCGCTAAAGTAGACTACGAATAATTTGCATCTGGCATGTGTGGCCACATAGAACTTGAATAAGGAGCTGTTAAATAGAATTTGATTAGCATAAACTCTGTCGATGTTCTATATGTTGCTTCTTTGTCAATGCTCTGATTTTTATTTCTTTCTTCCCCCCACCCACCAACACCAACACCCCAAACCACCCGGGGCGCGGAACAACTCTAGGTTTCCCAATCTCATACGAGACTGTCGGATGCACTGTACTCATGAAGATGTTTAGGATAGTAGGAGATTAATTATAAATTTGTCTTTCCCTCGTTCTTTAGTACTCCCGCTCCAGCATATCCTCTGATGAAGAGGAAGTTCAAGCATAAAAAAAATTTCCTTCCACCTTTTGTTTTGGCGATTAACATTTCCTATCCTTGTGATGTCTTTAATTTTACTTCTCCCACTGCCAAATGAACTTTAATCTGATAATCCATAGAGTTGCCGTCTGATTAATAAGCCCATCCCAAAAGCCACTTACCAGGGTTACCTAATGACTAGATGCAGATGGGGTTCCAACTGTGGAAGCAAGTACTTTTGGTGACACGATATAACACCTTTGACCTAACTGAGAATAAAAATACTACCGGTAATACCTCATGCTTATAAGGCAATGAACGTGAGATACTAAATCTTGTCTTTTACTTATTGTATGAATTACATAATGCAACAAAAACTTTTAGGCTTAATGTTTAGGTTTAACATATTTAATACCCGAATTATTAATTTTAAGAAAACCAATTCAGATTTCTTTAAACCTAAACCCATTCGGATTCCCTAACCCAAACCACACTAAATCATTCCAAGTTTTATCATTGGAAACCATTTTAAAACATGTCAAATTTATTAATTGGAAACTATTTCATTAAATCATTTTATTATACATTTTCACATATAAAACCATTGTATTATTTCCAATCATGAAACCAAATAATAACATCAAAAACCATATATTTATTAACATGCTAAGTTAGCATATAAGTGTATACACATACTTTTAAACAAGTGCATAAGTATGTTCTAGACCAAAATGGGCATACATTGACACATGCATGGAGATGTTCCGAAGCCGGGGTATCAAACACGAGTCATTGCCAAAAACTTAATTAATCGAAGACAACTCCTGATTTAATGTTGTTTGTTCATTCCTATCCAAATACTGAAAAAATTAAACAGTTTGGGAAAGAACAGAGGGGAAGGGAATCACATGGGGCAAATTTCGTAAGAAATTGGGGTGTGATCTTCCATGGTGATATGGTCTGTTCCTAACAAACACATAGGGGACCTGCTTCTTCTTCTTCTTCTTCTTCTTTTTGTTATCTCATAATCATACAAGACATGCATTTCAAAAGAAATTCAACAACTACTCCATAGCGTGCAAATGGCACGTTTTAGGTTGGCAGGGCTTGCTCATGAATGTTCATTTTATTGGGACTATGGTTTGACCTAAAAAATTATTTTTAAAAGAACTTTCAAGTCATTTGTTAAAAAACCATTTCTCAATAAGTAAATAGTTTGTCGCAATGATTAGTGCATATTCATATTACCAAGCAGCTATCATGCCTAATGAAATGACATAAAAAGAGAGAGGTTGACAAGAGGTATCCACATCAGGATTTAGGTCCACCAAGGAATCTAATAAAACTCTTATATGCATGTTTTCAACTGTAAATTATATACATAGTACTGCTGAGATTATGGATGTCAATGTACTGTAACGTGCACACATATTAGGCCCTTAACATATACGTGCAACCAAGTTCATAAACAAGGGCATAATTGTTGGTGAGATGCGACCTCCCTCTAGTAGAAAACCACAATCAAAGCCACTGGACTAGCACCCTTCTATCCGAAAAATGGCTGTTTCCATTTCCAGCAGGAAATTTAAACCATCCAAAAAGGCGGTAACAAAAGAACGTTGTTCCTGTGGAACATTCATTTTCAAAATTCTGTCCCGAGTCCCCCTTGCCATTCTTCTTTTGATTTTTGTGTACCTATGGTCCTCCTCCGCTACCATTATCTCTGGCAAGATTGTTCACATCTGTGTTTCCTCGAGGAAGCTCAACAATCTTTACTGCCTCTCTGCAGGTACCCAGCCAAACTTCGAAATCCCAGTTCCACTCATCAACAATAGTTTCACTAGTACTAGCACTACTAGCAACGATATTGATGCTAGTCCTCACACAAGTAGAAGTACTGTCAAAGAATACGTCAAGGTCGGTAGCGTTCTTGAATTCATCGGCGACAGCAAAGAGACTGTCAATGTTCCTAGCTCTAGCACCAATGGCCATGTCAAAGAAGTTGCCAACGTTTTCAGGGAGGACTCATTTCCAACTGTGACAGGTGGGACTGACAAAAACAGGAGCGAGGAGATTGCCATTGCAAAGAAGGTTGTCAGGGAGCAACTACAACTGCATCGATCGTGGATGTCTAGTACAAACCATTCTTCTTGTGATGGGAGGGGCATATATGTTTATGATCTGCCATCAAAATTCAACAAGGACCTGATAGGTCAATGTGGAGATATGATGCCATGGACAAATTTTTGTAAATATTTTAATAACGATGCGCTGGGTGAGCCAATAGCAAACCTCGGAAAGGGCTGGTATCGGACCCATCAGTACTCATTGGAACCAATATTTCATTCAAGAATTCTGAGGCATCCTTGCAGGGTTTACAATGAAAGTGAAGCAAAACTCTTTTATGTCCCATACTATGGTGGTCTAGACATCCTGAGGTGGCATTTCAAGAATGTCTCAGATGATGTTAAAGACACTTTGGCACTGGACCTAATGAAGTGGCTCGAGTACAGAAAACCTTGGGCTCAAAGCTCTGGCATGGATCATGTGTTTGTGTTGGGAAAAATTTCGTGGGATTTCAGGAGAAGGAATGATACTTCCTGGGGTACTAGATTTCTAGAGCTCGAGCAAATGCAGAACCCAATAAAGCTGTTGATCGAACGACAACCATGGGAAGTCAACGACATTGGAATTCCTCATCCTACCTTCTTTCACCCTCATTCAGATGATGATATTGTTGCATGGCAGCAAAAGATTATCGGAACAACTCGAAAGAGTCTAGTGAGTTTTGCTGGCGCAGCACGGCCTGATCAACCCCAGAGCATAAGATCAATATTGATCAATCACTGCACTTCAACAACCAGTGATAAATGCCAGTTTTTGGATTGTAAATCAGGTGGATGTAATCAGCCTGAATCCGTCACAAAGCTGTTTTTGGAGTCTGAATTCTGCTTCCAGCCTCCTGGTGATAGTCCAACAAGAAAATCAGTATTTGATTCACTTGTTTCAGGATGCATACCAGTAATTTTTGATCCCTTTACAGCTTATTACCAATATCCATGGCATTTACCTGAGGATCATGGTAAATATTCAGTATTTATAGACCAAGAAGAAGTGAGGCAAATGAAGGGGAATGTGGTGGAGAGGCTAAGGAGTGTTTCTGCAAGGGAAAGGGAGGATATGAGAAGGTTCATAGTGTATGAGCTTCTACCTGGGCTGGTATATGGCGATTCAAGTTCTCGGTTGGAGAAGTTTCAGGATGCGTTTTCCATAACAGTGAATGCCCTGCTTGAGAGGGTTAGCAGGATGCAATGAATTTTATGTTAGTGTGGGCTGCCATATGATTCTTCTTCTCCTCTTTTATTTTGATATTTATTTTTTATCATATTACGATGTGTAAAAAAAAAAAAAAAGGGAAAAGAAAATTGATGTGTACAAAGTCGGAACAACCTTACAATTCATTTTATATGATTTGACACCATTTTACAAGTTCTAATATAAATTTGTGACAGCAATCTTTCTTGGAAATTTGATTAGAAAGAATGTGAAGGTTATTTCATTTTGTTATGTGCTTTTGTTGGGATCCACATAAAAAAAAATCTTGGAAATTTGATTAGAAAGAACGTGAAAGTTATTTCACCATCTTATGTGTTTTTGTTAGGATACACATATAAAAAAATAATAATAAATAAAAATAAAAATCTTGGAAATTTAATTACAAAGAATGTGAAGGTTATTTCATTATGTTATGTGCTTTTGTTGTAATCCACGTGTAAAAAAAAAAAAATCTTGGAAATTTGATTACAAAGAACGTGAAGGTTATTTCATTATGTTATGTGCTTTTTTTGTGATCCAAAAAGAAAAAAAAAATTGACTCTTTTTTTTTTTGGCTATTAAGATATCTTTGAGTCTATTATCTATACCCACACGAATTTTAATCCCTTCATAAAGTTAACAAAAAAAAAAAAAAAGAGGCAAACCTAAAAATTATACTCCTGCCCATATAAATAGTCTCAATTTTACTTTTAAATAAAATTTTACATCAATTTTATTCTATAAATTTTAAAAATTCTCTATATTTTTTTATTTTATTAGAAACTACAATGTTTCATAGGAAGCTTAAAATTTTTAAGCTAAGAAATTTCATCAGAAGACACCAAAATTGCTTGAAAACAAATCGATTCAAAATTTATTTGAAAAAAAAATATGATACTAACCATTAGGGATAACAATAGGCGAATACTCCATCCGTTAATTCAATTTTTTATCCTACCTATAAAAAAAAGTACTCTACATATTATCTATTAAGAAATCACAATATAAAGTTTTACCCTATCTATACTAAGTCTATATTAGTTTATCTATTATACTCCCTAAAAATAATTATTAAGAATATTTCATTTCATTCCTTATAATTTTTTTTAAAAAAATTTTGGTCCTTAAATTTGTTTTTTTGGCATTTGCTTATTTCTTTATAAGACTTTTAGTCTTTAAAGTTTTTTTTAAAAAATATTTTAATTTTTAATTTTTAAAATTTATACAATTAAATTTCTACTTGTTTGAAAAAAATCAAAATATATTAATGATTATTAATCGATTAGAGGTGGGTATCCATGTCTTGAAAGTATATTACCGAGTATTTATTTTTTTATTTTTATCTATTTTAATACTTATTAAATATTTTTAATAAATATTTATTATATTGAATAAAATGAATATATATGTTTTATATCCCATTCATTATTTACCTGCTAACTATATAATTGGAGGCATCTTTTAATTTTGTGCACTAAAAAAAAAAAAGTCCATCTTAGAAAAGGTCCATCTGCTTTTCCGTGCAAGCATTGAAAATTCTGACATCCAAACATCAAGAAAATGTCAGATTAAGCCATGGCCTTTGTCCTCTCTGTTAACAATAACAATAGAACATATGCTTAGCACATAACTATATATATATATATATATATATATATATATATATATATATATATACCCACAGCATAAAAATACATAAATTTATTTTATTTTGATATCTCATATTATATTATACATTAATTAAAATATATTAAATCAAAACGAAATAAAAATTTATTCAATTTTATAATTTTTTAATCAAAATTTTGTATTTGATTAATTATTCTTTATATTTTTATAAAGTTTTTATTAAAAATATTATTTATTTATTTTTATCCATATTTTTAGTTCAAAAAATTATTTTTTAAAATATATTTTTACCTTAAAATTTTTAATTAAAAAATAAAAAAAAGGTAAGGATCAAAATAAAACAAAAAGGAAAGATCAAACTAAAACTAAAAAATTAAGGACCGAAAAAATAATATTTTTAAAAAAGCTTACAATATAATATCATGAAAAATTTCATAATAAATATCTTAAAAATATTTTAAAATTATAAAAACATCATTACATAATAAAAAGAATAAGATATCTAAATCTAGATGAATAATAAAACAAGTCTAGATGAATTAACAGTGAAACAATAATATGATAGGTAAAATGAATAGTAAATTATCATTTTACTGAAGTGTTTTTTTTTTTTTAATGAAATTGAATTCCTTGCGAACAAAACAAATGCTGGCACATCTTTATCACATACAGACCAATACAAGCTGCCAAATTTTTGAAAAAGGAAAAAAAAATCTAGAAACTAGACAAGCTGACAAATATGAGGACCCACATGAACATTTGAAGATGCGAAAATAGTAATCTTGCAAAACCCATGACACCAGCATCTTTCTTTTCACATTGTGATGCGACCATCCTGGTCGTCCAACAACCTCAATTTCAAACCTGAAACATGGCCTAAACTTCGTCCACGTGTAGTCATTCCATACACGACGTGTCTGCTGCTCTGCTTAGCATCTTCTCTGTCCACACACAACCCCATTGCTATAATTTAGTCATCGAAATCCAAAAAATTGACCATCTGCTCTCTCTTGGGCCCATTACTCTGTCCTTTAAATCCTCCATGCTCTGCTCTTGCTCTCGCATCCTCGCTCATAAAAATCTAAACTTTGCATCATTATCAGCTTCTTTTTTATTATCAAAGCAACTATCTTTTAATTCCAAGCAAGCCCTTCCGCCTTCTTTGCATAATTCACCAGTTCCTTTGATTTCTCAGTCAGTCAAAACAGGGGTGCCAGGGCCTTTATTGGGTTCTTTGAGATTCAATCATTCAATGGCTAGTCAATCTAGTGCTCAATCAGTTCACGATTTCACTGTTAAAGTAATTTTTGTTGTATTTTATTTCTGGGGTTTTGTTTTTCTCTTAGTTTTTGTTTATGAAGTTGCTTGTTTTATGCTGATTTTGGGGTTCTGGTATCATGAATTGCTTGATTTTGTGTTTTTGTGTTTGTGGTATTTGATGGGTGTTTAGTAGTAGTCTAATAATTTGATTGGCTGCTGGAAATTGAGATAAATGCTGTAATTGCTATTAAGAAAAACTGAGGCCTAGAATGTTTCAGTATGCAAGGAAAATATTTTATTTATTATTATTTTTTTTTTGAGGTGTTAAGAACTAGAATAACCTTTTGGTGTTAAAGATTATGGAGGGTGTCTTTTAATTTTATTCCTTTGAATATTTCAACCTGTGGATGTTTGGCTTATTGGCCATTTCTCTGTTCCTATTGAACCATCTAATATATTAACTTTGATTCCTTTATGTTTTACTACTTATATCTGTCTCTCTAATGCTTTGGTTCTCTCTTGATTGTAGGATGCTAGGGGAAATGATGTTGACCTTAGTGTTTATAAGGGGAAGGTCCTCTTGATTGTCAATGTTGCTTCACAATGGTACTTAATTTTCCTCCTTTTTCATTCGTCCTTGATCGGAAGAGATTTGGGGGTTCTGCTTTTTATTAAAAAGATGCTCGTTTCATTAATGATATGTACGTTGTAACATGATGCTCCTCGACCCAGTTCCAATCAAACTCCTTGGACTAATAATTATAGTGTGCAGCCTAGGTGTTAGTCGGTGGGTTCAATTTCATCAATTGACTTTGTTGAAATCATGTTGCAAAACAAGAGTGCATGAAGTGAACTCATAAGTTTTGAAATAACGGGGTGAAGAACCCCTTTCCAATTGAAGGAGGATCCTTCTTTGCCATCTCTTAAACAGAGGTTCACTATTTCTTTAACCTTTAATTTTGATGCAGTGGCTTGACCGATTCAAACTACACGGAGCTGACCCAGCTATATGAAAAATACAAGGATCAAGGTTAAATTCTATTACAGTTTAAGTTTCGTGTTGTGGCACTTTAATGTTTATGGACTTGCATGTGGTTTTATTCCTGAATTAGCTTCTGCTCTAGGAACGTATGAACCCTAGTAGTGTACTAGCTGATCTTTTATATGGGAACCCCTATTAGTGTTCTAGCTGAGCTCTTGTATGGGTTTGCCTTTATTGTTCGGATGGCTTCTTAATGTTTCCTTGTGAAGTTCAATCGGGTATCTAATTGATTGACAAGGCTAATCCTCCCAAGTCATTGCCATTTTGCTGTATTGGCTGTTCCTTCTCTTTTTTTTTTTTTTTTAATAACTTGTCTTTTTACTGATGCAGGTTTGGAGATTCTGGCTTTTCCATGCAATCAGTTTGGATCTCAGGAGCCAGGGAGCAATGAACAAATAGTGGAGTTTGCTTGTACTCGCTTTAAGGCTGAGTATCCCATATTTGATAAGGTAGGCTAACTCTGAAATTTTACAACCAGATGAAGATGGATTTCTTAATTTATAATCAGTTTTCTTTCTCACTTGCCTGCCAAAATATTACCTCTTTTTCATGTTTGAGTTTTTTATGAACATTGTCAATGAATCAAAGTTCCATTATTTGAGATGCATGTTATTTAGTTTCATGAGGAGAGGAGTCTATTTATGTGGATGTTTAGGTTACTAATGTATTTCTTGGTATAGGTTGACGTAAATGGTAACAACGCTGCTCCAATTTACAAGTTCTTGAAGTCTAGCAAGGGTGGACTTTTTGGGGACAGCATCAAATGGAATTTCTCCAAATTCCTGGTTGATAAAGATGGCAAAGTTGTGGATCGTTATGCTCCCACCACCTCCCCTCTTAGCATTGAGGTAAAATCTGGTTCCGTTATTACATTCCCCATATTCAGCTACTACAGTTGATTTCAGATACCTAATTAGTAACTGATATGATCCTGGTCAATGTTGTCACTCTCCGCAGAAGGATGTGAAAAAACTACTAGGGATTGCTTAATTGCTCAAGGCATGGTTGCTTAATCTGCGATTGGAGAAAATAAAAGAGGAGGCCGCACTACTATGAATAAACACCATGTTGTTGATGCTGTGGATGTATCTATCTGGTCTTTTTCACTTTTGTAAGGATGTTAAAGACATGGATTATAGTTTAATCCTAAGAATGCATTTTCCAACTTTATATTCATCTTGTGTTCGCATTCTAGCAGATATCATTAAATCTTCTCTATGGGCTTTATGCTCTCCTTTTTTTTTTCCCCTCTGAAGTTTATAACCCTGTATCTTTGAAGGATCTAGTTCAACTTTGTTGTTGTGTTAGGCTCATCTTCCCAATCTGAATCTGGCAACTTGGGAAGGAGCATGCTTCCCGGTGAGCGTTTGATTCAAGTTAAAAGACCAACCATATACTAATAATTAGCATCATACACTTCCTGGTACTAATAAAACCCCATAACGAGCATGATCATATGCTGCTACTCCCTGTCTAGAGTGAGGTCAAGGCCGCAAATGGGACCGATGAACTCTTGCTCTCCTGCCCGCCTATATTGAGGTAGGTGATTGATGAGTGCGATGCACCTATGATCACTGCCTGCTCCACCCCAACCTCTAGGTACGGCTGCAGTGGTGCAACCGGTGGTTGACCTCCTTAACCTTTTCTACAAAGCATTCTCCTCCTAAAATTCAGCTAGAGTACACTCACCACAGCTAGGGCAACAACATAAAATCTCAATATTCTCCTTGGTTTGAGCATGCTTGGCGCTATAATGGTGGGTAGCTCGATTGCTTGGAGCAGTTTTTGGTCGAGGGCTCGACATTCCTAAGAATTGGAATCCAACAATGGAGAATGATAAGTGTCAGTTCTAGAGTTCAAATGCTATCATCTTGTTGTTTATATAGCAATTACAAAAGGATTTACCCCACATTCAGACCCTCAAATCTTGTAAATATCATTTTAAAAAAAAAAAACTATAATTTTTCAGTTTGATTGAAATTTTTTATTCTTACAAATATATTGAGTCGGACCTTTCGTTAAATATGCATCTTATGTGGCAAGTTAAAAATGACGATAGCTAATTAAGTCGGCATTGTAGGTCCTATTTGTAAAGAAAATCGATTAAAAAAACCATAATAAAAAAGATTTATATTAATAAACTAATGTATAGTATATAAAAATATAAATAAAAAGACAAAAATGTACCCATTATTATTATACTTTCATCTCCTTAAATCCTTATCATTCTCTCTCTCATTTTGCAATCAATTCTTTCATTCTCTATTATGTCAAATTCCCTAAAATCTCTAAATCTCAAATCACTTAAATCTATTTAACTAAAATACAAGTCATCCTTATTTTCAAATCTAAATCTCTAAAATCCTAGAATCCCAAAATCTAATAACCCTAAAATGCGAAATTAATAATTTCAACCTTGTTAACACCTAAATTTTGCTCCCCTTTAATTATTTATTTGTTTTTGTTATTACGAAAATACCAAAAAAAAGGGGTAAAAAAAAATTGAAAACAAAAAAAAATAGAAAAAGAGAAAATCGAAAAATGAAAAAAAATCGGTTGGGATAATTAGTTTAGGTTAATTAAAAAAAAAAAAAAAAGAAAGAGGGAGGGGGTTAATTGAAGAAGTGAAAAATTTAGAGGTGATAAAAAGTGCAATTGAAGACGCAATAAAAAAATCAAAACTTTTTTCCTTCAATTAAAACAATAAGGGGGCACGATTGTGACAAATTAAAATAAAAGTCTCAATTAGTTACAAGGGGGCTCAAATTAAAACAAAAAAAAGCAAAATCGATCTCAAATTAATGCATGAGAAGAAACCAAGGACCAAAATGATATTTAGCCCACCCCATGCATTTTTTATACCTAACACTATTCATCCTCACAAAAGAGGAAGGCAGTGCCGGACAAGAAAAAACGCAAAAAAGCTCCCATGCCGACTCCCTATCACCGACCACCGACCAGTTGCTCTCTCCCTCTCGCCTATGCCCCTACACGCCGGTCCACTCACCTATAGCTCCACCACGGCCCTCTCGCCCATCACCTACAACCCTCACTCCGGCCTCCTTCAAAGCCCCAAAAGTAGCCCTACAAGCGACCTCAAAACAGACTCGAAAAACCCACCAAAAACCCTCAAAAATAAATCCCGCAACCATTACCAATAGCCCCAAAAACCCTTGCAAAGTAATCCCTTTGGGCAGCCCATTTAAGCCAAAAAAACACCCTTAATCCAGCTTCAATATAGCCCCAAGAAACCCCTAAAAAATGTCCCAAAATTTTTCAAAAACCGGACCCAAAACAACCACCAATAGTAGCCTTTTTACAACCCCGAAATAGCCACCAACAGACCCCAAATACACTTGCAGATAAGCCCTTTTGGATAGCCTATTTAAACCACCAAACCAGCCCTAAAAGGAACTCCAAACAAGCTTCAAAATAATGCCAAAAACTACCCAAAACAGCCACCAAGACAGCCATAAAACCCGCCTCAAAACGACCCTTCGCACACTTTTTGAAGCTCCCGAAAAAGAAGAAATAAGAGCAAAAAATAAAAAAATAAAAAATTAAGGAGACTAAGATGTTTTTTTTTTTTTGTGTTGGATTATATTGGAAGGAACAACATGACGTTGTAGATTGCATTTCTTTGGGTTTTGACAAGAAAATACGAGTAAGAAAGTCATTTTGGATTTTTAGGAAATCTTGCAAGATTTCAGGAACCCTCGTAAATTTTTCAGCAACATTTAGAGTAGTTGCACAAGTAATAGAGGAACTTTTAGACAATTACTCTCCTTTTTCGGTTAACCGAACAATCGGTTTTCATCGGGACTGAAGAGAGTACAACTGATTTTGTTTCGGACATCAAAGTTTCGGATCTTTTGGATAAAACTCTAAAACCATTGCATATTTTCTAAAAAAAATGACAAATGATTAAAAATGATTGGATTATTGGTTTGCGTTAATGAAGTCGTTGCATTTTATTTGAATATCCATAGTCTAAATGTGATTGAAATAAACATTGTCGTACATAGCCGATATCAAAAGACAAATTAAGTTGCTTTCCGGTTTGCATGCTTAGTTATCCAAATGTGAAGTTTTATGATTTAATTGTCTATCCATGATTGATTGTCATCAAAATGAAGTCGTTGGTGGCTTCCTACTTATGTGACGAAGCCGTCGGAGTAATTTTATCAATTTCTATGCTTGATTCCTGTTTTGTAATAACTTTTTTCCTTGTTTTTTTGCTTTCGGTCTCCGTTACCTATTTTTCATTTTTCTCGATTTATTTCATCAAAACAAAGCCGCTAGTGGTCTCAAAAATAGTTTTTTTTATGTAATGCTTGTCTTGTCCGCAATGAAGCCGTCGATGGCTTCCCACTTATGTGACGAAGTCATCGACGACTTCTAAATAATCATCTGCTCCTCACTAGAGCGACATGAAGTTATCAATGACTTACCACTTCGTGTCAAAGTTGTCGATAACTTTTTAAATGCGTGACTCGAAGTCATCGGTGGCTTCCTACTTGTGTGAGCGAAGTCGTCGATGACTCGTAGCTCATGTCAATAAAAGGCTATTTATCTTTAGAAACTTGCCTATTGTTAATAATATATCATGTTCACTAATGACTAGTCGAAATTCTCATTTTTTACTCGTTTTCATTTGGGTAGGACATATTGGCCTTGGATAAGCTCGAATGTCCAAACTACCCTGTTTTATATCCAAGTCATCCTATTCTATATTTTTACAAGATAAACTCATTTAATAGGCATAAAAGCATAACATGATAAAAACTAGATTTTTTACATTCATAAACAAACGATGCGACTTACCTTAGTTAGGACGGGATGGTGGTGATGACATGTTTTTCCCATACATAACCGACCCCTTATCCGGATATCCATGTAGACCAGTATGTTTAGGGTTTCCTAGTTCTCCCCGATTAGCTAGGTGGTGACTCTTTTGATTCGGCCCCTCCTCTCGCGATGGTCGACGTCGACGGAATTGGCGACTCCATCGGGGACAATGCTATGCTAGGGTCGAGCTTTGAATGTCCGTGTTTTGAGTCTCCGGTTGTTTGTTATATCTACTATGCCTATCGATTGTGATTGTTATTTAATTATGTAATTGTTTTTATGTTATGGTAACATGTTTGTATATATATGCGTTGTTTGTGTACTCTTTGTTACTCGTAGCTTGGGTTATTTAATTTCTTAGCCTTTATTTTACATTTTGATATTGGATATGGAGTTATGCCCTCACATACTACACTTGCATAATCTTAAATGTCATCTGCATTTGATTTAGGATCTAGAGAGGAATTACTAGTGCCCCGATGGACTTCGCCCGGGTAACATTACGAAACCTCAACTCTTTTAGAAAGTTGCTATTGTCACGATGGGTATTCGATGGTCTCCATGATTACCACCTTCGCACTTGGTCAACCTCGGTTCTCTCGAGCCAAAAAGGACCCTGTTGAGACTTAGATAGATCCTACCCAATCATGTAATGGCTAGAACCGGACTCTAGGATCACCTTTCCTGTATAAATTCACTAGGCAAGTCGAACATGTCAAAACCTTGATCAAACAATCTGGTCATGAATGTTTCGGGATGGGTGACAAGAGAACTCGAGTCTAAATCCACTCGGTGGCTGAATTCAATAAAAGTTACGAGGCTTTCCAACAAACAAAGGGGGATTGCCTAGGTCCCGAATTTTAGAGCAACCATAAGGAAATCACACACTTTCGGTCGGTGATCAAGGACACTCAAAAGTTGCTTGATTGCTTGGAAGATGTCGAACCCTTATGATCAATATAGATTTCGAGTCAAATATGAGAATCTTACGGTGTTGATAGAGGTACCGGTTCGAAGCTCGCTCTCGAGGCCTTGGCTCACTTGTGGGATCCTTCATACGGATGTTTCACTATAGGGGAACTTGATATGACACCGACCTTAGAGGAGTACCATCAACTTCTAAACATGCCAAGCACTCTACATTAGGTCTATCTATACCGAAGATGATCAAACATCGAAAAAATATTGAAAGATTGGTTAGACATCAACATGAGTCGTGGTAAGGCTAAAGGGAATGTCGAAGATTGGCACTTTGAAAGTCTGGTTGGATATGTTTAAGCGAGAAAATGAAGGATCCACGAGCTACCTCCAAGAGGATTAAAATTCTAGCACCGATGATCTTTGGGTTAGTGTTTTTCCCCTCATCGATCGGTTTGATCAATTTAGATGCGGCTAATGTCTTCATCGAAGTAGAGAAGCACTCTATAAACCCTACTATCGCCATTCTAATCGAAACCTTTTCCTCATTGAGCCACTATAAGAGGTTTGGGAAAAGTAGTTTGAGATGTTGTGTCCAACTATTTTTTTGTATGGGTAATCAATCATATCGAAGCTCATAAATCGAGTTTTTAAAATATCTTGGTGGATTGATCAAGAACCATTGAGGGAGTTCCTAGGCGGGACATGGAAGAACAAGTTTGAATAAGAGTGGTTTTTATCATTCCCGAGTTTGTCGAATGGAGGTTTCTTATGGAAGACAGTTTGGATGAGTCGAAGACCATACCTAGCCTATTGTGGAGCACGACCATGGGTCCTTTTGATAGGAGCGACTGGATATACTTGTTACGCTCCCTCTATGGTATCAAGACAATTTGGTTATGAATAAGTTGTACCTAGAACTATGGGCCTAAACAGATTTGAAGAAAAACTCATAAGTGATGCCACTCCCGAGTTCCTTGAACGAGTTTTACAAGATTGGTTAACTTCGAGAATAGTTGGTGGAGGAATAGTTGACCA